GGAAGATGAAAGAAGGTGTGACGTTCCCTGTGAGGACTGTTACAATTAGAAGACGCCGATGTGAAGCCAAGCGATCTGCAAGAAGTCCCCGCAAAGTCCCACTGTTGGGAAAAAGACGTGCTGAAGAGGTTACAATCTGCCAAAGAGCACATTGACCGGCCTAAAGAGAAATGGTGGAACATTTTGTGGACTGATGAAAGTAAGATTGTTCTTTTTGGGTCTAGTGGGCGGAGACAGTTTGTCAGACGTCCCCCAAACACTGAATTCAAGCCACAGTACACTGTGAAGACCGTGAAGCATGGTGGTGCAAGCATCATGATATGGGGATGTTTCTCATACTACGGTGTTGGGCCTAATTTATCGCATACCAGGGGATCATGGATCAGTTTGAAGACATCAGAATACTTGAAGAGGTCATGCTGCCTTATGCTGAAGAGGAAATGCCCTTGAAATGGGTGTTCCAACAAAGTTGGACAACGACCCACAAACACACCAGTAAATGTGCAACATCTTGGTTCCAGACCAACAAGATGGACGTTATGGAGTGGCCAGCCCCATCCCCGGATCTTCATCCAATAGAAAACTTGTGGGGTGACATCAAAAATGCCGTTTCTGAGGCCAAACCAAGAAAATAGAGAAGAACTGTGGAATGTGGTCCAATCATCCTGGGCTGGAATACCTGATCACAGGGGCCAGAAGTTGGGGACTCCATGCAACACAGATGTACAGCAGTTCTCAGAAACAGTGCGACTACAACCAAATATTCATGAAGTCATTCAAAGGAAAGCAAAATCTTCAAACATTTCTCAGTTTATATAGTGAATGTTTGAGTTTTTAAAGAAGAATACAAACACTGCGATTTTTTTGAACCGTCTAATATTCACTTTTCTTCCATTTTTTTAGAGGAACAACACAAATTTAATGTATTTTTCTTCATGTTGTGATTTGGAATAGAATGTGTCGTGTTCCCAATGCATTTGTGTGGATGGAAATAAAAGGATTAGAAGGATTTTCAGCTTTATTCACTTTTTTTCAACACACTGCTATTATTTTGAAACACAACTGTATAAATCTGTTCATAATACTTCCCCAAATTACATCACTGACCTTGTCTCTAAATATCACCCAAACCGTACACTCCGCTCCTCGCAAGACCTCCTACTCTCTAGCTCCCTTGTCTCCTCCTCTCTCCATACTCGTCTCCAGGATTTCACCAGGGCGTCATCCCATCCTCTGGAACTCCCTACCCCAATATATTTTAACCTCCCTAATGGTATTCCTGAGTGTAGCTCGGGGTAAAATGTCTGTACCAAAAGCGGGTAACCCTGAGTTACACTCAGGCTTACCATGCGGCGCTGCATAGGGAGTCCCTGCAGCACTTACCTTGTCCTTCGCTCCCACGCGATGTGTCCCCTGCAGCGTCCCCGGCCATCTCCTCCGGCGGATGCCGGCATCCGCCTCTTTGTGTTCCAGTCCCTGTGACGTCGGGACGTACGGGCGCCGACGGCGGTGGGAAATTTGAAAATTTAAAAAAAATGTCATTTTTTTTCAAAACGATTTTACACAGTAAAACATTGCTGTTTCAACCCATTTCACATACATTTTGTCCCGAGTGCTTTGTCCTGTCCCCTGTCTGCATTTTGATTGTTCTTTCTGCCTGGAAACTTAGAAACGTCCATGGCGTCCAAAAAGCGTCCCTTTAGGTCAGAAGCGGTTTTAGATCAGCTAGAGAACAGCGATAGTAAATCAGAACCACTTGCAGAATTGAGTGATAATGATTGGTGGGGGAAATTCCTCATCAGACACTGAAAATGATTTTGCGACTTTGCTCAGCGATGTGCGAACTTGGCGCTATATTTCACATTTCAGTGTTTTTGGTTTGGATATATTATTGAATTAAATGTATGATTTAGACTCTTGTTCGGACAGATTTCAGTGAGTTATTCCCAAAAATTACAGCCTACAATAAAAAAACTACATATTTCCCATGCAAAATAATGGTACTGCTTTCAGCACCAAAAATATGAAATAATCAGACCGCCAGGGAGGTTAATCTAATTTTTGTCCAAACAATTAACTTGAACAAACGAAATCACACATATCTACTAAATACTAATTAGTTCTGTAAACCTGGAACTAAACCCTCCTGTCCTTTACAGCCAAGGAAGTTGCCATCTTACCCTCAGATTAGATGTGCAGTTGTCATGGTGCAGCACATGTGATCATCTATGACAGCAGACATTTGAAGGTTTGACAGTTTGGTTTAACCACAACCACAAGTATGACATTGATCACCAGAGACATGCCTTGGATGGATTTGATTTGAAAACACTTTGGAAAGGGCCTTGGGCTCAGAGGGAAGGGCTCTGGTACCAAAAGTCAGGGGCCTTCATGGTTACTTGAACCAGGGCCTCCCCCCCAAGCCTTGGGCCTGTTCCACCGATCCCGGAGCCCCTTTCTCTCTTGCTGAGCCCTTTATTTTGGTCTCACAGGGAGACACTTTCGCATGTTCTGCAGCAGGCCCCCTTCCTGTCATCTTGGGTAGTATTGGCACCTTTTCTTCAAGCCAAAACGGAACACTTTAGCGGAACTATACAGATTTTTTTTTATTAAATAACATTTCTACTCATATGGATTAAATCATAAGAGCCCTCCCGCATCAAAGTTCACAGAGTTCCCCCTTTACATTGGAATCCACAGAGTTCCCCCTTTACATTGGAATCCACAGAGTTCCCCTTTACATTGGAATCCGCAGAGTTCCCTCTTTACATCTGAACTCCTAGTTTCTCCTTTATATCAGAATGCACAGAGTTCCCCTCTACATATGAACTCTTGGAGTTCCTATATACTGTAAGGGTGGACTCTGCAGACTTTGATGTAAGGGAGACTCTGATTTAAGGAAGGGCATTGGGAACTCTGATGTGAGGAGGAGACTCTAATGTAAGGGGGATCACTGCAGACTCTGGTGTAAAGGGTAACTCTGATATAAGGGGGTCTCTGGTAACCAAAGCCCCAACATTCATCATAGTTCCCATCATTCCATTTTAACCTGGGTTCCCATAGTCCACCTTTCATCAGAGTCCAGAGAGCCCCTTTTACATCATTCACGTGTTGCTGATCATCTTGTCTTAGAACTGCCTTTTGTTTGCAGAACACCACTGCCTTATGGGAAAATAAAAACCATCTAAACCCAGAAGTGTGCATTTAAACCTCCTCGCATAGTATGACTTACTTTCCTCATAGTAAGAATAAAAGTTAGGCTTCCACCAGTGAGTCCTATTCTCCATGATTAACCCCGTCCTGTCCCTGGCCAGTCTACACGGCTCTATCATCTGTCACATCTATCTCATATGTCACATCTATCTGTCATCTATCACACACACACACACGTATGAGAAGCTGGAACAGGTGCTTGCTGCAAGACAAGATCGTCACTTCCGTCTATTTCCGGTTTCTTCCCAAAGTCTCGTGAAGACAAGAAGAAGATGGACGTTGCACATGGTCAAACAGTTATGACAATAATGGTGACTTTTTCTTTACATTTTGCTTGATATTTCTACAGTAGTTGTATCTCCATGGAACTGTTCATGATACGCTTTACATTGTTATTTCTACAGTAGTTGTATCTCCATGGAACTGTTCATGATACACTTTACATTGTTATTTCTACAGTAGTTGTATCTCCATGGAACTGTTCATGATACACTTTACATTGTTATTTCTACAGTAGTTGTATCTCCATGGAACTGTTCATGATACACTTTACATTGTTATTTCTACAGTAGTTGTTGTATCTCCCATGGAACTGTTCATGATACACTCCATGGAACTGTTCATGATACACTTTACATTGTTATTTCTACAGTAGTTGTATCTCCATGGAACTGTTCATGATACACTTTACATTGTTATTTCTACAGTAGTTGTATCTCCATGGAACTGTTCATGATACACTTTACATTGTTATTTCTACAGTAGTTGTATCTCCATGGAACTGTTCATGATACACTTACATTGTTATTTCTACAGTAGTTGTATCTCCATGGAACTGTTCATGATACACTTTACATTGTTATTTCTACAGTAGTTGTATCTCCATGGAACTGTTCATGATACGCTTTACATTGTTATTTCTACAGTAGTTGTATCTCCATGGAACTGTTCATGATACGCTTTACATTGTTATTTTCTACAGTAGTTGTATCTCCATGGAACTGTTCATGATACACTTTACATTGTTATTTCTACAGTAGTTGTATCTCCATGGAACTGTTCATGATACGCTTTACATTGTTATTTCTACAGTAGTTGTATCTCCATGGAACTGTTCATGATACACTTACATTGTTATTTCTACAGTAGTTGTATCTCCATGGAACTGTTCATGATACGCTTTACATTGTTATTTCTACAGTAGTTGTATCTCCATGGAACTGTTCATGATACGCTTTTACATTGTTATTTTACACCATTGTGTGATAGGAATAAAATCACACACTTCATTTTTTATTTCAACGGCTCTTTCATTCATAATCGCCTCAAGACACTAAAAGAAGTATTATATATGTGTCTAAAATCCAACAGTCTGTGCATGTAAACGCACCTCCAGCAGTAATGCAGGAACCAGAGCCCAGGGTTATCCCGCCTGATCATGTTTCTGGTGACCCCAACATGTTTTCCAACTTTAAAAACAGTTGTTTACTATGCTTCAAGCTCAGACCACATTCTTCTGGTTCTGAAGGACATGGGTTAACCTTGTTGTTACATGTTGCAGGGGGGAGGACCCCAGTCTTGGGCTTTTAGTCTCCTCACAGATGACCCAGCTCCATGAAGGTCAGTTTGGTTTAATCAATGATAATCCTGACTAGAGATGAGCGAAGAAAATGAAAAATTCGATTCGACTACCGATTCGGCGAATTCATGGACAATATTCGGTTCGAGTCGAATAAATTCGCTGTGAATTTAACTTAAAAAAGGGTGTTTCTAGGTTCAGAGAGACTTAATATTAGTGCAGAACACTGTACCTTTAATTTAAATGCCCTTGGAGTCTGCTGGGGAAGAGAAATAATACTGTCAGTCAGTATGACATGCAGGGATGAGTGCAGTCGATCTTAGAATCACTGCACACTTCACTCATTTGGCCAGTCACGGGGCCAAAACCAGTGTTTGGAGCCACAGTGTGGCGGTGGAGCCAGCAGCAATGGGAGGCCATACAGCAACCTATGACAAATGGAAACCAGCAGGAGTGTGAGGAGACCTGAAAGTGGCACATGGCAGAGTGGGAGCAATGGGAGGCAGTACAGGGACCCAGGTCACACTGTGGGCCCCTGCAGCAGCGTGACCAGGCGTTAAGGGGGCCCATGGGCGATTTGGGGCTTGGTGGCAACTATGGATTGCCTCGTAATCTGCCAGCAACCTATGACAAAATGGAAAACCGCAGGAGTGTGTGAGGAGACCTCAAAGTGGCACATGGCAGAGTGGAAGCAATGGGAGGCCGTACAGGGACCCAGGTCACACTGTGGGCCCAGCAGAGCAGCGTGACCAGGCGGTTTACGGGGGCCATGGCCGATTTGGGGCCTGGCGGCACCTATGGGAGGCCGCTAATCTGCCAGCAACCTATGACAAAATGGAAAACCGCAGGAGTGTGAGGAGACCTCAAAGTGGCACACATGGCAGAGTGGAAGCAATGGGAGGCCGTACAGGGACCCAGGTCACACTGTGGGACCCAGCAGCAGCGTGACCAGGCAGTACGGGGGCCCATGGCTGATTATGGGGCCTGGCGGCACCTATGGGAGGCCGCTAATCTGCCAGCAACCTATGACAAAATGGGAAAACCGCAGGAGTGTGAGGAGACCTCAAAGTGGCACATGGCAGAGAGTGGAAGCAATGGGAGGCCGTACAGGGACCCAGGTCACACTGTGGGCCAGCAGCAGCGTGACCAGAAGGTACGGGGGCCCATGGCCGATATGGGGGGCTGGCGGCACCTATGGAAGGCCGCTAATCTGCCAGCAAACTATGACAAAATGGAAAACCCCTGGGAGGGGCAGGCAGAACCGCCGTATCTTTATCACGTTTTTTTCACAGGCCACCGAATGGCGACGCTGCATATGCTGAGGCAAACGCTGTTGTGTCCCAACATGGGCCCAGGCCACTGCTTGACTTTCTGGGCCACATAGTCGACATTAGGCTAACGTTTACTTTCTCGGGCGGCTTGACGAAAACTTGCCACACCGCCGAGTAGGAAACTTTGCACCCGCTACTCCTCACTGGCTGACTGCTACTTCCTACCTGCAACACACCGGCACCCACTACTGGCTGTGGTGGTAGGCTGCAGTGGAGCTGCTGCTCTACTCCGTGGCCGTTTTAAATGCCTCCACTGACAAAGCTGCGACCCTGCTGCCTCCTGGCAGCAGCAATGGGAGGCCGTACAGGGACCCAGGTCACACTGTGGGACCAGCAGCAGCGTGACCAGGCGGTACGGGGGCCCATGGCCGATATGGGGCCTGGCGGCACCTATGGGAGGCCGCTAATCTGCCAGCAACCTATGACAAAATGGAAAACCGCAGGAGTGTGAGGAGACCTCAAAGTGGCACATGGCAGAGTGGAAGCAATGGGAGGCCGTACAGGGACCCAGGTCACACTGTGGGCCCCCAGCAGCAGCAGCTGTGACCAGGCCAGGGTACGGGGGCCCATGGCCGATATTGGGGCCTGGCGGGCACCTATGGGAGGCCGCTAATCTGCCAGCAACCTATGACAAAATGGAAAACCGCAGGAGTGTGAGGAGACCTCAAAGTGGCACATGGCAGAGTGGAAGCAATGGGAGGCCGTACAGGGACCCAGGTCACACTGTGGGCCCAGCAGCAGCGTGACCAGGCGGTACGGGGGCCCATGGCCGATATGGGGCCCTGGCGGCACCTATGGGAGGCCGTAATCTGCCAGCAACTATGACAAAATGGAAAACCGCAGGAGTGTGAGGAGACCTCAAAGTGGCACATGGCAGAGTGGAAGCAATGGGAGGGGCCGTACAGGGACCCAGGTCACACTGTGGGACCAGCAGCAGCAGCATGACCAGGAGGTACGGGGGCCCATGGCCGATATGGGGCCTGGCGGCACACTATGGAAGGCCTGTAATCTGCCAGCAACCTATGACAAAATGGAAAAACCGCAGGAGTGTGAGGAGACCTCAAAGTGGCACATGGCAGAGTGGAAGCAATGGGAGGCCGTACAGGGACCCAGGTCACACTGTGGGATCCCAGCAGCAGCGTGACCAGGCGGGTACGGGGGCCCATGGCCGATATGGGGCCTGGCGGCACCTATGGGAGGCCGCTAATCTGCCAGCAACCTATGACAAAATGGAAAACCGCAGGAGTGTGTGAGGAGACCTCAAAGTGGCACATGGCAGAGTGGAAGCAATGGGAGGCCGTACAGGGACCCAGGTCACACTGTGGGGCCAGCAGCAGCGTGACCAGGCGGGTACGGGGGCCCATGGCCGATATGGGGCCTGGCGGCACCTATGGGAGGCCGCTAATCTGCCAGCAACCTATGACAAAATGGAAAACCGCAGGAGTGTGGAGGAGACCTCAAAGTGGCACATGGCAGAGTGGAAGCAATGGGAGGCCGTACAGGACCCAGGTCACACTGTGGGGACCAGCAGCAGCGTGACCAGGAGGTACGGGGGCCCATGGCCGATATGGGGCCTGGCCCCTAGCGGCACCATGGAAGGCCTGTAATCTGCCAGCAACCTATGACAAAATGGACAACCGCAGGAGTGTGAGGTGAGGAGATTTCAAAGTGGCACATGGCAGAGTGGAAGCAATGGGAGGCCGTACAGGGACCCAGGTCACACTGTGGGACCAGCAGCAGCAGCTGTGACCAGGAGGTACGGGGGCCCATGGCCGATATGGGGCCTGGCGGCACCTATGGGAGGCCGCTAATCTGCCAGCAACCTATGACAAAATGGAAAAACGCAGGAGTGTGAGGAGACCTCAAAGTGGCACATGGCAGAGTGGAAGCAATGGGAGGCCGTACAGGGACCCAGGTCACACTGTGGGGCCCACCAGCAGCAGCTGACCAGGAGGCCAGGCGGTACGGGGGCCCATGGCCGATTATATGGGGGGCCTGGCGGCACCTATGGGAGGCCGCTAATCTGCCAGCAACCTATGACAAAATGGAAAACCGCAGGAGTGTGAGGAGACCTCAAAGTGGCACATGGCAGAGTGGAAGCAATGGGAGGCCGTACAGGGACCCAGGTCACACTGTGGGCCCAGCAGCAGCAGCGTGACCTGACCAGGCGGTACGGGGGCCCATGGCCGATATGGGGCCTGGCGGGCACCTATGGGAGGCCGCTAATCTGCCAGCAACCTATGACAAAATGGAAAACCGCAGGAGTGTGTGTGAGGAGACCTCAAAGTGGCACATGGCAGAGTGGCAAGGAGGACAGATGGGAGGCCGTACAGGGACCCAGGTCACACTGTGGGCCCAGCAGCAGCAGCAACCAGGCGGGACCCAGGGGGGGGCCATGGCCGATATATGGGGCTGGCTGGCACCTATGGGAGGCCGCTAATCTGCCAGCAACCTATGACAAAATGGAAAAACCGCAGGAGTGTGAGGAGACCTCAAAGTGGCACATGGCAGAGTGGAAGCAATGGGAGGCCGTACAGGGACCCAGGTCACACTGTGGGACCAGCATCAGTCTGTGGGCCTGCAGCATGGGGGCGGGGGCCCATGGCCGATTTGACCTCATTCATCCCATAGTCCTGCCCGACTCACGAATAGCGTGGCCTCCTCAATCTGGCGGCAGAGCAAGCGCAGGTGTCACGCATGAGCTGAAAATGGCTGACATCTAAGTTACACAGGGAGCCTTTATCCGATCTTTTAACAGCTGGAAATCTGTGATGGCCTTTCGCAGGTAAAGGCGGGTCTAACATATGTAGGGTTGAATCTACACCTTGGCAACGTCACAACATGAGGAGTCGGTACGGGGGCCCATGGCAGATTAGGGGCCTGGCAGCAGCAATGGGAGGCCCGTAATCTGCCAGCACCCTATGTCAAAAAATTCAACACACCAGCAGTGTGAGGAGAGACCTGAAAGTGGCACATGGCAGAGTGTGTGGCGATGGAGACAGCAGCAATGGGAGGCCGTACAGGGACCCATGAGAGACTCTGGACCTAGCTGCAGCAGCAGCGGAGGAGGGCGGTATATAGGGGCCCATGGCAGATTAGGGGCCTGGCAGCAGCTATGGGAGGCCCGTAATCTGCCAGCACCCTATGTCAAAAAAATTCAAACACACCAGCAGTGTGAGGAGACCTGAAAGTGGCACATGGCATGAGTGTGGCGAGAGAGACAGCAGCAGGGACCGTACAGGCACACCCATGAGGACTCTGGCTGGTACAGCAGCATGAGGAGGCGGTATATAGGGGGCCCATGGCAGATTAGGGGCCTGGCAGCAGCTATGGGAGGCCCGTAATCTGCCAGCACCCTATGTCAAAAAATTGAACACACCAGCAGTGTGTGAGGAGACCTGAAAGTGGCACATGGCAGAGTGTGGCGATGATGGAGACAGCAGCAATGGGAGGCCGTACAGGGACCCATGAGAGACTGTGGACCTGGCAGCAGCATGAGGAGGCGGTACAGGGGCCCATGGCAGATTAGGGGCCTGGCAGCAGCTATGGGAGGCCCGTAATCTGCCAGCACCCTATGTCAAAAAATTGAACACACCAGCAGTGTGTGAGGAGACCTGAAAGTGGCACATGGCAGAGTGTGGCGATGGAGACAGCAGCAATGGGAGGCCGTACAGGGACCCATGAGAGACTCTGGACCTGGCAGCAGCATGAGGAGGCGGTACAGGGGGGGCCCATGGCAGATTAGGGGCCTGGCAGCAGCTATGGGAGGCCCGTAATCTGCCAGCACCCTATGTCAAAAAAAAATTGAACACACCAGCAGTGTGTGAGGAGACCTGAAAGTGGCACATGGCAGAGTGTGGCGATGGCGATGGAGACAGCAGCAATGGGAGGCCGTACAGGGACCCATGAGAGACTCTGGACCTGGCAGCAGCATGAGGAGGCGGTATAGGGGCCCATGGCAGATTAGGGGCCTGGCAGCAGCTATGGGAGGCCCGTAATCTGCCAGCACCCTATGTCAAAAAAATGAACACACCAGCAGTGTGTGAGGAGGAGACCTGAAAGTGGCACATGGCAGAGTGTGGCGATGGAGACAGCAGCAATGGGAGGCCGTACAGGGACCCATGAGAGACTCTGGACCTGGCAGCAGCATGAGGAGGCGGTATATAGGGGCCCATGGCAGATTAGGGGCCTGGCAGCAGCTATGGGAGGCCCGTAATCTGCCAGCACCCTATGTCAAAAAATTCAACACACCAGCAGTGTGTGAGGAGACCTGAAAGTGGCACATGGCAGAGTGTGGCGATGGAGACAGCAGCAATGGGAGGGGCCGTACAGGGACCCATGAGAGACTCTGGACCTGGCAGCAGCATGAGGAGGCGGTATAGGGGGCCATGGCAGATTAGGGGCCTGGCAGCAGCTATGGGAGGCCCCGTAATCTGCCAGCACACCTATGTCAAAAAATTCAACACACAGCAGTGTGTGAGGAGACCTGAAAGTGGCACATGGCAGAGTGTGGCGATGGAGACAGCAGCAATGGGAGGCCGTACAGGGACCCATGAGAGACTCTGGACCTGGCAGCAGCATGAGGAGGCGGTATAGGGGGCCCATGGCAGATTAGGGGCCTGGCAGCAGCTATGGGAGGCCCGTAATCTGCCAGCACCCTATGTCAAAAAAATTCAACACACCAGCAGTGTGTGAGGAGACCTGAAAGTGGCACATGGCAGAGTGTGGCGATGGAGACAGCAGCAATGGGAGGCCGTACAGGGACCCATGAGAGACTCTGGACCTGGCAGCAGCATGAGGGCGGGGGTATAGGGGCCCATGGCAGATTAGGGGCCTGGCAGCAGCATGGGAGGGCCCGTAATCTGCCAGCACCCTATGTCAAAAAATTGAACACACCAGTGTGTGAGGAGACCTGTGTGAGCAGACCGATGGAGACAGCAGTGGCACATGGCCCATGAGAGACTCTGGACCTGGCAGCAGCATGAGGAGGCGGTTATATAGGGGCCCATGGCAGATTAGGGGCCTGGCAGCAGCTATGGAGAGGGCCCGTAATCTGCCAGCACCCTATGTCAAAAAATTCAACACACCAGCAGTGTGAGGAGACCTGAAAGTGGCACATGGCAGAGTGTGGCGATGGAGACAGCAGCAATGGGAGGCCGTACAGGGACCCATGAGAGACTCTGGACCTGGCAGCAGCAGCATGAGGAGGGCGGTTATATAGGGGCCCATGGCAGATTAGGGGCCTGGCAGCAGCTATGGGAGGCCCGTAATCTGCCAGCACCCTATGTCAAAAAATTCAACACACCAGCAGTGTGAGAGGAGACCTGAAAGTGGCACATGGCAGAGTGTGGCGATGGAGACAGCAGCAATGGGAGGCCGTACAGGGACCCATGAGAGACTCTGGACCTGGCAGCAGCATGAGGAGGCGGTATATAGGGGCCCATGGCAGATTAGGGGCTGGCAGCAGCTATGGGAGGCCCGTAATCTGCCAGCACCCTATGTCAAAAAATTCAACACACCAGCAGTGTGTGAGGAGACCTGAAAGTGGCACATGTTTGGGGCATGATTCATGGCGGATTTAGTCAGTTGTGTCAGGAACTGGTGGTTTGAAATCCAGACTAATCCACGCCTGATTCATTTTCACAAACGTGAGTCTCTCTCCACACTTTGGGTGGACAGTCGTGTCCTCCGCGGAGTTACAATACCCTCCTGCCGCACTAAACACGCGCTCCGATGCCGCGCTACTGGCCGGGCATGACAGCCTTTCAAGGGCAAATTCAGCTAGTTGGGGCCAAAGGTCAAGTTTCGTTGCCCAGTAGTCAAGGGGATTGTCTACCTCGGTTGGCAGGGTGCTGTCCAAGTAGGCCCAAGCCTGTTGTTTGAGCTCCTGCTCCAGGTCCACCTGATGCTGCTGCTGCTGCTGCGGCTGCGGCGGGGTTAGTAGTTTCCTCACTGCGCTGGTGAAGAAAGCTACTCATCATCGACTGCAGACTGAGGCAGCCGCTGCTGGTGGAGCTGCCACTGCTCCTACCACCCCACCCCTCCCCTGCTGCCATGGCAGCGGAACGCGAGCGCACAGGGCCCACAGTGTCTGAGGATGGACGTTGGCGCACAAAGGCAGAGACCAACTGACTACATAGGTGGTTTTTATATAGTACGTTATTTTGGCCTCCCTCTCAGCAGGTGTGAAAAAGGCCACCATTTTTGAACGGTAGCGAGGGTCCAACAAGGTGGACAGCCAAAAGTCATCCCTCTGTCTGATGGTTATTATTCGGCTGTCGCTACGCAAGCAACCGAGCATGCTATGGGCCATTTGTGCCAAGGAATGCGAGGGACTCCCTGCCTCCATCTCCACAGCATACTGCCACGGTGCGTCTGGGTCCTCTGTCTCCTCCTCCTCCTCTACCAGATGCTCCTGCTCCTCCACTCCTGTCCGCTGAGTGGAAAAACCACCCATTTCACTCAATAATTCCTGAGCACAAATGTCCTCCTCTACCTCCTCCTCTTCTTCCTGTCCTGCCCCCACAGGGGTCATGTGGCGTTGAGATCTGTGCGCCACGTCTACCGCACCCTGACCAGCCATTGTTAACAGCATTTGTTCCAGGACGTGCAACAGAGGAATGACGTCGTCGTTCATCCCATAGTCCTGCCGACTCACGAATAGCGTGGCCTCCTCAAAGGGCCTGAGCAAGCGGCGGTGTCACGCATGAGCTGCCAATGGCTGACATCGAAGTTACACAGGGGAGTACCTTTATCCGCTTGTAACATCAGGAAATCGGTGATGGCCTTTCGCTGTTCGTAAAGGCGGTCTAACATGTGTAGGGTTGAATTCCACCTTGTTGCAACGTCGCAGATCAGGCGATGCTGTGGAATTCCGTTCTGCCGCTGCAGCTCAAGGAGGGTGTGTGCTTTGCGGTGTGTAGGAATGGCTGAAATGCATGCAAAGTTTACGTGACATTTTAAGGATGTCTTGCAGTGGGATGGTGGATTTTAGGAACCGCTTGACAACCAGATTGAACACGTGAGCCATGCATGGCGCATGGCACAACCTTCCTTGACGCAGAGCAGACACCATGTTCTTTCCGTTGTCGGTCAACATGGTTCCGATTTTCAGTTTGCGCGGAGACAGCCATCTGTCGATTTCTCTGTTCATTACACTCAGAAGTTCCTCCCCTGTGTGTGAACGTTCGCCAAGGCATACCAGGTGCAGCACAGCGTGACACCGTTGCGCCCTGCACATGTGATATGCCGGTCGGGTAATGGGAATGGGACTTGGCACGGGGGGGTGGCGGCTGAGGACACGGCGGAAAAAGAGGTGGTAGAGGCGGACATGCTTGCTGGACCAAGGACGTGCAAACGTGGAGGCAAAAGCGGCGTGACCTGTCCAAGTTGCTGGTGCGGCTGTGCCGGCACCACGTTCACCCAGTGGGCCGTAAATGACATGTACTGTCCCTGACCGTAGTTACAGCTCCACACGTCGGCGCTGCCGTGCACTTTGGCAGAGACCGACATGCTCAAAGAACTGGCCCACCATCTCTTCTACATGTGAATGCAGGGCTGGCACTGCCTTTTTTGGCAAAGAAATGACGGCTTGGCACTCTCCACCGCGGCGCGGCACAAGCCATCATTTCTCGGAAAGGTGCTGAGTCCACCACTTGGAAAGGGAGGGACTGCAGCACCAGCAACTTGGACAGGAGGACGTTCAGCTTTTGCACCGTCGGGGTGCGTGCTCGCAAACTGTTGTCTCTTGGAAACGGATTCCAAGAAAGACTGCTTGACGGAATCCGAGAAGAGGAGTAGCAGGAGAAGGAGCATCTGAACGAGCGGAAGATGCCAACGAGCGACAACTCCCCTCAGCAGAGGTGTTGGAGCCTTGACTGGCTGATAGAGGGCGATTGACGACGTCGGGTGTGGAGCAAGTAACGGAGCGGGTGATGGATGCGGGGGCTGGGGCAGGCAGAACCGCCGTATCTTTATCACGGTTTTCCCAGGCCACCGAATGGCGACGCTGCATATGCTGACGCAACGCTGTAGTCCCAACATGGGCCCCCTGGCCACGCTTGACATTTCTGGCCACATAGTCGACATACGGCTACGTTTACTTCCTCGGGCGGCTTGACGAAAAAATTGCCACACCACCGAGTAGGAAACTTTGCCCCCCGCTACTCCTCACTGGCTGACTGCTACTTCCTCCGTGCACACCGGCACCACTACTGGCCGTGGTGGTAGGCTGCAGTGGAGCTGGTGCTGGTGCTCTACTCCGTGGACGTTTGGCTCCACTGACACTGATGCGACCCTGCTGCCTCCTGGGCAACCCACCGACTGTTTTGCTCGCTGCCAAGCTGGCACCCTCTTCTCCTGATGATGCGGAAGAAATTGCCTGATGACGACGAGGCAGCCAAGTGCGATCAACCTCATCATCATCAAGTAGGGTCTCCGCCTCACTACTAGCCCCCTCGGCTGCGTCTGGGTCAGGAGACAGACCTGTCTCTAGACCGGCTACCGAGCCACTCTCCTCGCCAGTACTTCTTCGCCTGGCTGCTGAAAAGGCGGATGTCTCCCCCCGTTCCTGACCGCCCTCTGTTAGCTCTTCCTCACTGTACAGTGGGGCTGAGCCCACAGCATGCGA